TCACTATTTATAATCATCGCGGATTCTTACGTTGTCGTCAACTTTTCGGTGGACGCTGCAGTCCGCTGGGTAGCATCTCGCTGATGTTGCCTTGACTTCTACTGTCCTCTCCTCGTTTCGACGCCGTTGTCGCCGACGACTCCTTTTTATCTCACTGCCGTGATGCTATAACATTCTTCCCACGAAAATAAGCCTCCCCAACTCTCAACGCCAGGATCCCATCTAACTGCATCATATCACACCAAACTGCCTATTTAGGCAATTTTTCTCCCTAATTTTTTGCAAATCGGTGGCTCGCTGAACTCAGCCACCGATGAAGGAACTCTTTACTGTTACGTGACTGTTATTTTATGAGAGAGTTCGTTGTTAATCGGATCCGACTTACTATCTTGCTACGCGTCGCACTACTTCTTCCTGTTGTTATACAGTTGCTTACGCGCAGCTGTGATTACCAAATTTGTATTTTTTTCTTTTTACGATAGCACTAAGTTTGTAATGAAAGGGCCCCTTACGCCTTAAATATAAAACTTATTATTTATTATATCAGGTATGTTACCATCAGACAGGTTCCTTAAAATTGACAATACAGATCCGAGTTTTGTTTTGACGGTGCCCAAGAGGCGTCTTACCTGTAAACCTTATTATTATTATAAAGTCAGTACAGTTTTGAAATTATTTTCTGTTCGCAGAGGTTTGTCTTCGGTAAAATTTGTTGTAAAAGAATTCTCTTAAATTCCGAACTTGAACGATCGTCCGCATTAGAAAAATATTTCCAGAGATGCAGAAAAATTTCTGTACGTACGGTTTCGACGACAATATCACAGATGGTACCTGCTGGAAGGTATCAAGGCAAAACTATCCCAGTAAGAGCGAAGAAGATATCGTTGTCACCCAGTTAAAAAGACGCGTGTTCTATGCCCCCAGCCGTTCTGTGTGCGCGCCTCTTCAGCCGATTAGAACAGGCGATACCAACGAGAGTATAAAAGTTGACCTCGTGGGTCCGATTGCCTCGTCTATTACAGGCAAGATGTTCATCCTTGCCGTGGCACATTTCTTCACCAAGGTGGCTGAGGCCGTTCCGTTACCAGATGCCTCAGCCCCAACGAAAGCCCGTGCCATCTTCAATGATTAGGCTCGTCACTGTGGTACACCTGACCAACTTCATTCCCACCGCGCCTTCTCGTTTGAGAACGCCATCATGCACGAATTTTGTAAACTTCTGAAGAAAAGGAAAACTCACACGATCGCGTGTAACGGGTAGGTCAAGAGAAGGAGAAAGCGTCTTATTTCATCAAGCTAAGGGACGATTGACAAACAAAAACGTTCCCATATATTAGTACATAGGTGTACTCAGATCTGGTCCATGACCAGATTGGTTCTCATATATCCTCGCCGTGAATAAAATTTAATAAAAATGTACTGGGCCATCAAAAAGATGCTAATGCTGAACAATAAGAAAATCCGGAAAAGTTACCTTACTCACCTGCAGGGCCTGCATTTGGGAAAAGGCGAGCAAAGCCTTTCACTGTAAAATTTTCCCAAACAAGTTGGTGTGCTGCTCGAGAGAATCGTTCAGGTTTGTGCAGCACAAACTGCAGTTTGTCGTTGTTCCAATGCCAGAAAACGGGTGTGTGAGCCAGTTGTAAACTGCCGCTATTGCCACTGTGCTCATAATATTTATCACAGTTTCTCAGCAAATGATAATCCAATTTGCGTTTAAATGTGTCAACAGTGTCTGAAAGGACAACCTCTTCAGGGAGTCCGTTTCACGCTCCGATGACCCTCTGCAAGAAGCCGTTTCGTCGAACGTTCATATGAGCCGACTTCCCCTGCAGTTTAAAGGGATGCCCTCGCAGATGATCCCTCCGAGCCAATTCGAAATTCTCATCAAATTCTAGAGCGCACTCACGGCCTCAATAAACAAATGGGGGAATTTTATATTTTAGGCTGGTACTTCTATATCCAACAACATACCGTCATTTTAAAATAATAATCGACGCTCTCTGAAAAGTATGGTGAACTAAGGAGGAAGCAGTGAAAAACTTCTACCATTAAAGCGGGGGCAGAGCTCAGCGGAACCCCACTTAAAAAAACAAAACGTAGAAGAAAAAAATGCTTCTACAAAATGAAGAGTTTGGTTGGTAGCATCGTTGCGATACAATGAGACAGGCCTGTAGATGAAAGTGTATGGGGGTTGGAAACGCTTCCTGTCGTTGGAGAAATCATATAGCAGCAGATGCTACCGTTCAGGATCAGGATCAACCATCAGAGGTGACACAGGAGGAGGGCATCGCGGATAACAGGGCCGAAAGGATGAGGGGAAAGTAGGGGGCATGAGATCATCACCGAAATGCCGGAGATGTGACCTTGTGGACTGCAGAGTCCAGCGACGAGCTGGCGAAAACAGCAGAACCGCCGGAGACCGGAGACCGTGAAGCCCACCGTCAGGGTTATAAAACGGAGAATGGCAATAATGACTGGACAGAGTAGGGAAAGAAACATCGCTGCAATGATCACTCTATGGAGAATAAAACAGACATATATGCAAAGCAATTTAATAAAACTGGAACCGCGTCAAATACCAGGAGGACCCTTTTCAAAGTCCAAAAGTTGTGTTTGGGAAGGAGACGGATAACGAGGACTTTATATCTTCCGACGTTGAATGTTTACCTAAATTGGCTTTAAAAACTGCTAAGTTAGATGCCAGCCTTATTTTGAGGGGAATATTATTCCAGAGGGAGGCATATTTGGAGGCCATAAAACGAGAATGTTTAGATGTGGAGCTAAAGGGTGGTGCAATTATCACGGAAGAATTACAAGTGGCATAAGGTTTATCTGCCGGAATAAGACAGTTGATCCGTTGGAGGTTAACGTTAGAGTTAAGGCGAAATAGGAAGCAGAGGCTCGCTTCGAGTCTTCTAACCCAAAGAAATGCCATGTTCGCTAACTGACATTTCCCCGTATAAGAAATAGTGGATCGAGGAAGAGCAAATATTTTTCGAGTAAAAACTATCTGAAAATTTTGAACTTTACCGCGGTCAGAGGCATCCACTAGACCGGAGAGGGGACAACAGTATTCTAGGATGGGTAGAAAAAAACGTGCGATACAGTTTAATCTTTATTTCCAGAAGGAAGAAATTATGTGATAGAAAACCACATATCTGTGCAGCCTTCGCAGATATTCGATCCACATGAAGCGATAATGTTAGTTTATTTGTGTAACTTAGACCTAAGTATTTTATGGTGGATCGGTCGAAGATTGGAGTATTTTGAAAGACTAGGGGACCAGGAAGCTTGGCGGGGCCAAAAAATGAAACGACTCTTGGATGGCGAAAATTTCACTGGCATTCTAATGTGAAGGTATGAGTAAGTCTGCGTTTACTTTATCATCGCATATGTAGGCCGTTCCCGTAGAAAATGAGTATATGCACTTGAGGTCGTCTGCATAAATGAAATTGCATAAATTTTTCAGGACTGTTGAAATTTCATTTATGTATAGAATGAAGAGTGGAGAACCCAAGACCGTGCCTTGCAAAACGCTACTCGTGATCAGATGAGCCGTGGAGTAGCTGTTACCTACTAAGACCTTTTGGCTGTGGTGAGACAAGTAGGAAACAATGAAATCGAGGAGAGGGGGACAGACGCTGATTTCTTCCAGTTTTACCAGAAGACGTCTGTGCCGTACCTTGTCGAAAGCTTTGCTCAGCTCAAAGTAGATTACAGCCACTTATTGCCGCTCTTTACGAAGGGAAGTGACGAGTCTAAGAAAAGCTAAGTGACACGTTTCGCATGATCGTCCAGACAGAAAACCATGCTGCGAGTCGCTTAGAAGCTTGTTTTTTAGACTAATTCGGGAATTTGATTAAAAAGGATCTTTTTCAGATGTTTGGCTAGGGCTGGAGTTTTATGAATGCCTCGGTAATTATCTACGTCCGAACGAGATCCTGACTTGAAGACTGGAAGAATAATAGATGTTTCCCATGAGGCAGGAAAGAAGATAGGCTGAGGGTAGGTGACTAAACAATCAGGGAAGCTCGACACTCTCTTGATAAATGAGTTCGATTTCAAACATTTACATTTATAGACTTAAGATTATCCCTATCATCATCCCCCAAAGAAGACGAAGAAGAAAACAAGGCGCTGTCGTGGACCACACTGTTATTGTGCTGACATTTCGGAAAAACTCTATTTTCCATCATCCGAGTGGTGAGTTGTGTGTTCCTCCTCGCCGAGAGTTGGAATGCCGCGCCGCCCATCTGGTGTTGTAACGATGGCTGACGCACGAGCTCTG